GGCATAAGTTAGAATTCAGATTGAAATTTACTTTCAATATGAAACCTGCTGAACTCTTTTCTTTTATACTCAAATGTTTATATATTTTAAATTTAAAAATACAAAGTAATTTTTGAGTATTTACTAATATTTATTTTAGATTTGAGCAAATTATTACTAATATTGGGAAGTATTTTTAAATGCTTGTTGATTTAAATCTTTATTTGAACATAATATCGTTTATATTTATGTAGTGATTTACCTTTTTAAATTCCTGAATCGCCTTCATATCAATATCTTTTTCTAAATAAAGCGTTTTATTTATAATTAATTTAGAATAGTCTTTTTAATAATTTTAAGCTCATTTTATATATATATCATTTAAAATTGAAAAATAGAATTAGAAGAACGATTTTATATTGCATAGTTTATGATAAATATTCTTTACAATGATGCTCATTTATTTCTATTTTTCAAGAAAAAATATTTCAATTTAGAGTATAGTTATCGAAGCGAAATGAATTCTTAGAAAAATTTTAATATAACAATGTTTGCATCAAAAATCAGTATCTTATTCGATATGAATGATACATTCTTATACAGTTTAAATTTTCAAATAAATTCTTACAATTTATAATTGCAATCAACTCTATAAAATTCAAAAGCTTAAAGAGATCTATTCTTGATAAAATTAAACCTCGAAATGGATTATAAAATTTTATCTCTCTTTATATGATTATTTTGTTGTTTTAGTTTTCTTTATTGATTTCTAATCGTTTAAATTTAGACATATTTTAACAAGCCCTAAAAGATTTTGAACATAAGAGTGTAAAACCTAAAGTCAAATTTTTTCTTCTTTATTTAGAAATCGGATTTAAAGGTTTTTTAAATAGTAAGAAGATTATCAGGCATTTTTATTCTATTATGTCAAATAATTATTTAGTTATGAAATATAAGAATGAGATAGAATAATTTTTGTTTTGTGTTGTCCTTTACAATATTTTATTTCTTTTTATTATAATAATACTCTATTTACATTTTATAATTTAAGATTCTATTATTCTTAAATTAACAGAGTAAGGAAATGAAATATACTATTTCGAATAGAAACATAAATAAGATTCAAATAAAAATCTATCTTTGTGTTATAACTTTTGAAAATTGATCGAAGTTATTTCATGTTAAAATCTTTTGATTATGAATAATATTATTTTATTTTAATATAAAAATGGTTAGCCCTATTTTGTAACCAATCTATTTTTATTTAATCATAATCCTTAATAAAATCTCTGGTTCTTTCAACCAAATACTCTCTCAAAATTGCTAAAGTATGTTAGTAGAATATCAATATTTTAAAGAATCTATTTAGACTTTTTCTCTTATTATTACAAATGTTCATCAAGTAGTTTAGTTGTAATACATTGCCCTGTTGAGGGAGAAATCGAGTTAAAGTCTCAGGGTTGGTGGTTTTTTTTATTTTTAATTAAAATTATTTGATTAAATAAATCTTAAGTTTTAAGAAATGTCGGCAATTTAAACTTTTATAACAATTATTTTCAAGAAAATGGTATGAGTGGAATCGTTTATATATTTTATTTATTATATTTTTGTATATTTAATATCTCTATGATCTAATTCTTAAATGTAGAATTTAGAATTAGGGTGCCCTGTTATAAAATTAATTCATAGAATTTTTCAATTCTAATTCAAATGTACATCTACTCACAACAAGAATTAAGAAACTATTGAATTGCTATTGAAAAATTATTAGTTAAACTTATAATTACTAAATGGAATTCTTCTATTCTTTTAATTCAGGTGGTATATGGGTCCTATGTCACCAGAGGTAATAGAGAAGAGAGAAAGTAGATGAGAAGGAGTAGTATGAGAAGGAGTAGTATGAAGGAGAAAATGCAGGAGGAGAAAAATGAAGAATTACAATTATCTGAGGAATAAGACAATAGCGTTAAATCATATTTGTAAAATTAAATTTCCACGAAAATATTTATAAACCTAAATTATTATAGCATTTGTAAAATTAAAAATTTTTGAATAATCAATTTATTATAATCTTGAAATCATAAAAATAATCGTACATGATAATTATGTGAACCCAATAATAAATTTCATTGATTTTATCCTTTTATATATATTTAGTTAGTTCTATAGATTTCTTATCCAATTAATCTAATATAGAATTGAAAAATTAAATCATTTAAGTATTATTCATTATTGATATTATGGATATGTATAATGAACAATTCAAATCATTGTTTCCTTTTTTATTTCTCCTCTTCCTCAATATGCTTATATAAATTTGCTTATGAATTATTTAATATATACTTTCTTAATAAATTAATTTAATTGTAAAATTTAACTGGTTGATGAGTTCATCAAAAATATACATTTTTAAATATGAAATGATGAAGTATTTTTTTTTTGTTTTGATATTCATTAATTTCGTTAAAATCATCGTGAAGGTCAAAGTTATTATAATTAAATTTAATTATTTTAACTTTTGAAAAGTCTAGATTAATTTCTGAAATAATCTAGAATCAACATTATTTTTTAATTCTTGATGTATCTTTTTTCCTATCTTTGTTATTTATTGTATATTTTCCAGTTTATAAACTTATTTTGCTAAACTATTATTTTCTAAGACTAATCCTGCTAATAAGCAGTAATAAATTAATGAAATATACCATATAATATCCTAAATGAATTATAAAGAATAGTGTGTTAAATTAGTTTTCTTTAAGGAATTATATCACTCTTTATTTTGTTCTTTTCATTTACTGTTCTGTGTTTAGATTATTAATTTAATGTAGTATCATTTAAAATTAATCCATAAATAACAATTGATAACAGTCTTATGAAGTCTCCATAAATGTTCCCTACAATAAACTAACCATAAATGTTAATAATATTGAAATAAATGTAGTGTATATATAACAGAAATAGAATAAAACTATGAATTAGAACTTACCAAGCTTTAAAATTGAAAATGAAGAGTAGTACCTGATAAAGAATTAATAAAAAAAATATTAGATATTGTTTGGAATTATAATTGGAATGTTGTTAATGGATAATCATCTTCATTTTTACATTAAGTATTCTAAAAAGCAACTTCCTTTTTATTTAAACAATGTCTTTAAATCTATACCTGACTAATTTATAAACTTTCCTTTTAGAATTAAAGCTCCTGTAGCTTGAAATATTGCCTTTTGGGATATAAGGAGAGTTGTAATACAATTAGAAACTCAAAATATCAAAATTATAAATATTACCTTCAAATAAACGTGTATTTTATTGGGGTGGAATCTTCAATTATGAATGAATATCTTTGTAGTTTTTATCAGAGGATGTTATTTCCTATCCTGTTTTGGCATCCCATAAACGGATAGACTTATCTTCACTAACAGAAGCTAATGTATTTCTATCAGGTGAGAAACAAACCGAGTGGACATAACTTGTATGACCATCTAATTTGGCTTTTTATTATCTTGTTTGGACATCCCAAAGACGGATAGAGTTATCTCTACTACCAGACGCTAATGTATTTCCATCAGGAGAAAAACCGACTGAGTAGACATAATGAGCATGACCATCTAACTTGGCTTTTTATTATCCTGTTTGGACATCCCAAAGACGGATAGACTAATCAACACTACCAGACGCTAATGTATTTCCATCAGGAGAAAAACCGACTGAGTAGACATAATGAGTATGACCATCTAATTTGGCTTTTTATTATCCTGTTTGGACATCCCAAAGACGGATAGACAAATCAGCACTACCAGAAGCTAATGTATTTCCATTAGGAGAGAAACATACCGAGTGGACATAACTTGTATGACCATCTAATTTGGCTATTTTTTTCTTATTCTTAACATCCCAGAGACGGATAGACTTATCATGACTGCCAGAAGTTAATGTATTTCCATCAGGAGAGAAACAGACTGAGTTGACAGTATGAGTATGACCATCTAATTTGGCTTTTTATTATCCTGTTTTGACATCCCATAGACGGATAGACTTATCATAACTACCAGAAGCTAATGTATTTCCATCAGGAGAGAAACAGACTGAGTAGACATTATGAGTATGACCATCTAATTTGGCTTTTTATTATCCTGTTTTGACATCCCATAGACGGATAGACTTATCATCACTACCAGAAGCTAATGTATTTCCATCAGGAGAGAAACAGACTGAGTAGACAGTACTAGTATGACCATCTAATTTGGCTTTTTATTATCCTGTTTTGACATCCCATAGACGGATAGACTTATCATCACTACCAGAAGCTAATGTATTTCCATCAGGAGAGAAACAGACTGAGTAGACAGTACTAGTATGACCATCTAATTTGGCTTTTTATTATCCTGTTTTGACATCCCATAGACGGATAGACTTATCATCACTACCAGAAGCTAATGTATTTCCATCAGGAGAGAAACAGACTGAGTAGACAGTACTAGTATGACCATCTAATTTGGCTTTTTATTATCCTGTTTTGACATCCCATAGACGGATAGACTTATCATCACTACCAGAAGCTAATGTATTTCCATCAGGAGAGAAACAGACTGAGTAGACAGTACTAGTATGACCATCTAATTTGGCTTTTTATTATCCTGTTTTGACATCCCATAGACGGATAGACTTATCATCACTACCAGAAGCTAATGTATTTCCATCAGGAGAGAAACAGACTGAGTAGACATAATGAGTATGACCATCTAATTTGGCTTTTTATTATCCTGTTTGGACATCCCAAAGACGGATAGACAAATCAGCACTACCAGAAGCTAATGTATTTCCATTAGGAGAGAAACATACCGAGTGGACATAACTTGTATGACCATCTAATTTGGCTATTTTTTTCTTATTCTTAACATCCCAGAGACGGATAGACTTATCATGACTGCCAGAAGTTAATGTATTTCCATCAGGAGAGAAACAGACTGAGTTGACAGTATGAGTATGACCATCTAATTTGGCTTTTTATTATCCTGTTTGGACATCCCAAAGACGGATAGAGTTATCATCACTACCAAAAGCTAATGTATTTCCATCAGGAGAGAAACAGACTGAGTAGACACTTCCACTACGACCATTTAATTTGGCTTTTTATTATCCTGTTTGGACATCCCAAAGACGGATAGAGTTATCATAACTACCAGAAGCTAATGTATTTCCATCAGGAGAGGAACAAACAGATGAGACCCAAAAACAATGACCATCTAATTTGGCTGTTTATTATCCTGTTTTGATATCCCATAGACGGAGAGACTTATCATCACTGCCAGAAGCTAATGTATTTCCATCAGGAGAGAAACAGACTGAGTTGACAGTATGAGTATGACCATCTAATTTGGCTTTTTATTATCCTGTTTGGACATCCCAAAGACGGATAGAGTTATCATCACTACCAGAAGCTAATGTATTTCCATCAGGAGAGAAACAGACTGAGTAGACCCTATTATTAAAACCATCTAATTTGGCTTTTTATTATCCTGTTTTGACATCCCATAGACGGATTGAGTTGTCATTACTAACAGAAGCTAATGTATTTCCATCAGGAGAGAAACAGACTGAGTTGACATCATGAGTATGACCATCTAATTTGGCTTTTTATTATCCTGTTTGGACATCCCAAAGACGGATAGAGTTATCTCTACTACCAGACGCTAATGTATTTCCATCAGGAGATAAACAGACTGACATAACTTAATGCTCATGATCATCTAAATTGGCTTTTTATTATCCTGTTTTGACATCCCAAAGACGGATAGATTTATCATAACTACCAGAAGCTAAGGTATTTCCATCAGGAGAGAAACAGACTGACATTACCCAATGATCATGACCATCTAATTTGGCTTTTTATTATCCTGTTTGGACATCCCAAAGACGGATAGAGTTATCTCTACTACCAGAAGCTAATGTATTTCCATCAGGAGAGAAACACACCTAGTGGACATAACTTGTATGACCATCTAATTTGGCTATTTTTTTCTTATTCTTAACATCCCATAGACGGATTGAGTTGTCATTACTACCAGAAGCTAATGTATTTCCATCAGGAGAGAAACAGACTGAGTTGACATCATGAATATGACCATCTAATTTGGATTTTTATTATCCTGTTTTGAAATCCCATAGACGGATAGACAAATCACCACTACCAGAAGCTAAAGTATTTCCATCAGGAGAGAAACAGACTGATTAAACAGATCCAATATGACCATTTAATTTGTTTAATTCATGCATTCTTAAGTTATTCCATTTGCAATTTATTAATAATGCTCCATTCAAATTTATTCCACTTATGTTGACATTATCAAATTAGGATCCACTTAAATTACACCTAACAAAATTACCTCCTACTAAAGAAGTATTTTAGATCTTAATATTTAAAAAATTTTTGTTTCTAAGGTCCACCTTCATCTAAACTAATAAATGTAATGAATTAGATCCACATTTAATTAAAGTGTCATCTCTGGATGTGAGGTGAACTAATAATTACAGAAATTCGATGATCCTTATATTATCCTTGATGCTATTGATTAAACTTAATGTAGATTCACCATTTTATTCAGAAGAAAAGTCTTTTTAATTAAAGTCATGGTCTTTTAATTTTTTTAAGACATCTGTAATTAATTTCATATCTTTTCTTATAACAGACAATTTCTATTATGTATCACCTTTGGTGAAATTTCCTACTTGTTATAAGATTTAAGATTCTAATTGGCTCTGATTCCCTATATCTGATAGAAATGCAATGCAATCTTTAAATCTGTCCTTTCTTAATATTTCTAATATGACACCAAATAGCTTTTTATCGACATCTTTTACTTAATCCAAGATGTCAGCTCCCGTTGGAAAAAGCTGTGTTTTTTAACCCAGAGCTTCCTTCTTTTAACAAGAGCACCCCATTTTTTTTTCTTTTTATTATTGAATTTCTATTACTCTAATTTAAGTTAAATACTGCAAAAATCGAGAAAAGTATCTTAAGCATTTTAGTAAATTTAAAGTTCAGATATTTTTGTATATATGGAATTGATGATAATAGAGATAGAACATTTAATTGAGAATTCATTTCAAAATTTTTATAGCCTAATTCTTCTTAATTTTATATGAATATTTTAATTTATACATAATTTGAGTTCTGATATTGATTCATTCTTCTTGCTAAGGATTTCAGTTAACGATTTCAAAATTGGAATATGTTTGAGCAAAATCTTGTTCACTCCTTAAAATATGTAAAATGCATGAGTTTAACGCTTGGATAAATGATATAATGGGTAAAAAGGTTAAAAGAAAAATGAATAAATCTTTTCTAATACTATTAATAAATAAGAATAGTAAGGCTTTTAAAGTTAGACCTATTTTATGAGCTTTAAATTTTAGAGATCACCCTCCTCTTCGAAATATCAAACATTTACTTTTTCGACAGGTCAATTTTACCTCCATTTTTGTTGAAACCTAGAAAAAAGGATGTACACATGATATGTTCATATTTGATCTTAGAATTGTACACCCTACTAATTGCAGTATAATATGTCTATGTTTATAAACAATCATTTTTTAATTAAAGTAATATTTTTTGGGTATTTTCCTATTTAGGTCTAAAATCTAGTTTGCCTCTTCTAATGGAGTTAGTCATGAATTCAGGAAAATAATACTACACATACATACAAAACTAAAAAAAAAAACCCTCCCATCCAACACCTTAGGGGTCATCTCCTAGACG